TTTCAGATGTCTTCCAAATTTTGACCCAAGTCCGGGGGGTTAAGCTTAGTTTTACTGTCCTTGTTTTCCTTTCACAGTGGCAATACTGAATGTTAATTTTTGTGTGTTTTCATCTTATGTCTGAGGCGCTTTATCAAACTGGTATATAATGAATAACCAGTGCCCTGCAGGTATAGGGCATTCAGTGCTGGTCCAACAGCTGAGGTTTTTTTCCTTTTGAGATTTGTGACTATTAATTCAGAGCTAATTAGGGAGAGATTTTTCTGTACTCGCATGCATTTATAAAGTAGATTATAAACTACACTTAAAACCAATTGAAGTACATAAGGTTATTTTTAAACGTAACACTGAAATTCTTGTGCTGCAGGTTATCAGTACAGCACAGTTGCTCAAGCCTGTGATCAAAGGACTGCTATAGGTTTGGCTCGGTCCAAAGATATTGACCTTCGGTTTTTCCTGCCTCCACCATCATTGCCAAAAATCAAGGATGTAAGTAAGTGGTGTTAGGTATTGGCTGATTGTTGCTTATTTATTTGCTTTAGTATTTTCACTGCTAGTAACCACACTGAAATGGAACTCTTCTAAAGGAACTAATGAGTTGTAAAATAAAGACCAAAATATGGAACTGTGTTATTAGCAGTAAAGCCATGGGGGCACATCTGCACTGATGAGTAACAGATTGCAAACAATTAAGGACTAGGATTAGAACAAGGCGAGAAGTTGAGAGCCTACTTTTTATCATTCACCTGGCTGGTTTTAGAATTTTACATGCCCAAAGTCTTTATAGAAGTTGCTATAAATGTTAAGTTTCAGAGCACTGACGTCCCGGTCTTCTGTTCTACAACTTTATGAATGTAGCTACTTCTGTTGCTTCAGATGTTCCTTTTATTTCATATTGTTTTTTGATTCATGCTGTGAACTGAATTAAGAGGTATTTGTGCTCCCTTGCTACAGGATTATCCCATAGAAGATGAACTTCGTTTATTGCTAGTATCTTTACCTCAGAGTGGTATTGACCCATGTGTCCAGTACTTCACATCTCTTGCATTACGTGAAAGTAGTCAGACTCTTGCTGCAAAAAGGGTGAGTTCCTACCCGCAGAATAGAAGTGTTTGGGTTTCCCTTATCCTGCAGAGCTCAAAGACAAAAATCTACTTCTTATTTATCCAAAGATATAAATCTGTTCATGAGCATTCTAAGAGTGAGAGAAGTACAGACTTTGAAACCCCACAACTTAAGTAAAATATCTTCCACGTACAGTCTATATGCTTAAAATCTTTTTTTGTCTTGAGATTGTATGAGTCCTGAAGCAATGTGATTATTGCTTTCCTGTGCTTAGGCAAACAATTCTAAAATGAAACACATATTAAATGAAAATCCTACACTTCCTCTCCGCAAAATCTCTACACTTCCTTTCTCTGTTTATTGTATATTTTGAAGTTAATAGACTATGAAGACTACAGATCTAAAACACTAATATTTTCAGTTAAGAATGGGCGACATTTTTATGGTGTACTATTACATAATCTGTGCAATTTAAAAAGCGTATGCATGCTGAGAACTGGTTCAGATCATTACTTCAGATCATTACACATGTAGTACTTTGTTTTAGAAGTGCTTATTTTATGTAGCCATTGGAATGTGGCATAATTTTCTTGATGCTTATTTTAGGGAGGCTTATGGTGTTTTGGAGGAAATGGACTTCCATATTGTGACACGTTGAGTAAAATTCCTTCAGAGACAGTAGAACTCTTCTGCTTGCAAGCATTAGTGCAACATTCTAAGGTATCTATCTTTTAAATAATAACTAAAATCTGCATTTGTAAACATTCGTTTCTATTGCTGTCTCATATATTGGGAAGGAGCCACCGTTTCCGTGTCTCCTACCCCACACCACTTTTGTAAGAATGTAGAGGCAGCTGAGACTCAGGTGAATGGGAAGAGAGCAGTAACAAACTCCCCCCTCCCCCCGCCCGCCTGGGGAGGTGTCCATAGGATCTATTCTTAGATACTGCTTCTAATTAGCCTGTGAAGTTCCCCTGTAATGTATTTGCTTGTGTCTTTTAAGAAGTTGCCCAGGGCAGCTCTGGCAGAGAGCAGGAGAGAGTAACAAAGTCAGGGTGGCTCTGCCGAGTTACTGTGTGCAGGGCCACCTCCCTCTGGCACGGCCAAATGATGAGAGCGACATTCCATGAGGAGGTGCGTAGGGGTTCCACTGTGCAGCTTCTCAGTAAGCAGAATACTGATGGAATGAAATTCTGGGTGCAAAGTCTGTGTGGATTTGTGTGAGTTTGTGCACATCAGCCCAGAAAGCTTGCAAGAGGTCTCTTGTTATGGCTCTTAATCTAATTCTCTGGCCAGGTTGCCAGAAATCAAAGTAGCCTCTTGAATTCACTCTAACCAAAAGCCAAGAAAGATTATAAACTTTGGCCATCCACAAAAGTCCCTCTCTAAGGATCTCTGCCTTTGGGCAGAGCTTTGCAAAGCACAGAACTAATCCAGGACGTCTTCCCAGGAGCAGTCTGATCTTTGCAGACACAGGTGAAGGACTTTATGTAGCAGTGACATTGTGATTTCTGTTGCTGCACTCTTCTGTGTGCATTTATTGCTTTGGCATTTATAGATTATTCAGCCAGCTAGGAACCTGTTGTTGAAAGCCAAAATCTTGAGGACATCAGCAAACAGTGACACTACAGCTGGACCAGATTCTGCTTGGAGTAGATTATGTTGTTGTGCTTAAGACCAATAATGATTGCAATACAGTTTGGAAAGTAGAAATACCCTTGTGTTTCAAAGAAAAGGGTTATAGCCATTGAATTCTGGGTGGTAGACACGAAGACAAGTAGCTCCCTGCTTTTGCAAATAGTTGTGTATCCTGTTCAGACTCTTGAACTTTACTTGAAATTTGATCATGCCAAGTGGAGAGCAATCTCACTTCCCACAGACATGAGTGAGAATAAAGTGAAGATACTCTGTACAATTTTAGGTTGTCGATCCTTAGGAACCTTGCATTTTATCTTGTTCCATTTACAATTGTATAGTGTAACAAATTCTAGATAAAGTAAGAATTTCTGTTTAGTAGGTGCTTTGTATCATTACAGTTCCCTTAAATTTCCCTGCTGTGTATATTAACAGCCTCTCAGAGAACTTTTTGCAGAACATCAGCTCACATTATATTTGCTGTATAATACTAGGTTTCTTCTCACTGTGATAAAATTGAAGCAAAAGGAGGCCTGCAGCTACTACAGAGGATATACCAGCTCCGTAAAGATTCTGCAAAAATACAAAGGAACATAATTCGCATTATTGGAAATATGGCTTTGGATGAACGTCTTCATTCATCCATAGTACGTGCAGGTAAAATGGAAACAAGGGAAAGTAGGCTGAATGCCAGATTTCTATTCAAAAATTTCCAGGGGATTTGGTGCTTTTGTAAACTGTATAGCGGGAGTGGTGGTGTGTGTGTGTTGGCGGGGGGAGGTTGTTTGTTTTGTTTTAAGCACAAAAAATACAGACAGTTTAGACAATGTTGTTTTAAAATCATCCCTTTTTTTCTGTTTAGCCAATGCATGTAGTGCCTCAGAAACACTTTCCTCTGCTCACCGTTGGAAAAAGGCTTCTAGACAAGCAAAGGCCTTTGGTCTGAGTTCTAGGACCCTTCTTTTATTCTTTTATTTTTATCCTTACCAATTTTCCCACCTGCCATTACTGGTGCATTTCTTAACTTTAGTGTATCTGTATGCCCGGCCTGTGTGAGAAGCCTCACACTGGGATGAGGCTGCTGCTCTGCTCTGTCTTTCCAGGGACTTCTCTGCAGACACGGTCTGGTCATGTGCTTCCTCTGTCACTGCTGCACTGACCTCTGGAAGCACTTTCTCTTCCTTCTGAATAGGGGTCCTCCTTCAGATCGTAACCTGAATAACAGCAAAATACATTACTCCCTCCCCACTCTGGATTTTTTATTATCCATTTTGGAGATTTCTCTCATCCACCATTGACTTTCATTGGATAAAGAGAAGTGGATCTGTTTAGGTGTCATCATTTTATGTTATAACATTTGTTTTCACAAGTATCCCTTTGAAGGATGGTGTTTCTGAATTCTCTTGTTTGGGTGGTATTCCTTATTACTTAATTAGCCCATTTATTTTTGCAATGTAGGTTGGGTTTCTGTGCTTGCTGAAGTAATGAAGTCTCCGCATGTCATTCAGTCTTCTCATGCATCCAGAGCTTTGGCTAACCTGGACAGGGACACAGTGCAGGAAAAGTATCCAGATGGAGTTTATGTTTTGCATCCGCAGTATCGTAGCAGGTAAAGCAGAAGGATCACACCATACTTTCTGCTATTGGTTATACTGTTCATTTAAAAAAAGAAAAAAAAAATCATAAAAGTGAAGTCCTGGTGCTGCTGTGCTCATGTCACCTGCTTTTCTTTGATTCTTTGAGGGGTTGCAGGAATGGGGTTTCGATACTCAGATATGAGAACAACAGAAAAGCTCTAAACAGTCCCTAGCCATGAAGGAATATTACTGTATTGTATAGAAAAATCCAAATTCAACATGTGAAATGAATTATTGCTTTGAATACATGACAACCTTGTAGCCTTTGCACTGACTCTTGTAGGATACAATGCTTTGTAATCTTGTTGATACATGATGGCCTAAGCTACAGTTAATTTATGGTTAAGACATCCAATAAAACCCTGTCAGCTTCTGTTAATTGTGTTTGTTTGTCTGGGAATGAAGCCGTTCCTAGAGTGATACGTCCTTTAGAAGTGGCTATCTTCCCTGGCTCAATGGTGTTAACCAGGTTACAGCAAAAGTTTAATTTGATGATATAATTAGGGAAGTATCAGGTTGTATTAATAGTAGGTGGAGAGAGTGGTATTTTTCCTTATAGAATTAGTACTTGCAGTACTTCCAATAAAACCCTTCCAATGCAGGGTTTCGCCTAAGGCTGTGCTGCACTTGAAGTGCACCATACCTGGGCACTTCCTGTTTTCAGCTGCTCTTGCAAAACCTTGGCAAACCTTCATACTGAAAATATTCTGGTTTATTTCCCCAACTTATACTGCATAGCTGTAAAATATTCTCAGTGAATTATCTTTGAAATATCTTCAGTAGTTATTCCTACAATAGTTTGTGTAAGCATCGGGTTAATACCAAAAACCTGGTGTCAATAGAGTATCAGGACTGTCTTTTTCTGTAGAAGTGGATTTTATACCAAATCGGCAATATTAACTTAAATGACTTCAAAAGTGATGTTATTATTGGAGAGGCCAAATTCAGGGATGAAATCTGGGGCCCTCTTGTTGTCTGTGGGGTCTTTCTTCAATGTTTCTTACGTGTTAGTAGTGTTGTGGGGAAGCCTCTGGACAAATCAGCATACTTCTCAATGTTTTGGGATAGTGAATGTCTCATGAAAATACCAGTCTTCCTTCCTTTGAATGTACCGATATGGGATGGTCCAGTTTCAAAGCCATTTTATGAGTTAAAAATGTATCTTTTTTCACAAAGCATGTTACTATTGTCTTTGAGCTGCATTTTCCAAAATGCAGAAGAGTTGCAGCCAAAACACAAGGGTGCACATATTTGCCCTACCAGTAGTGCTTGGGCCCCACGGCGTTTCTCTCTACCTATATTCCTGCT